GAGTCTTTTAGATAGACCTACTGAAGGGGTACTCCAACTGCCTCACCCTGTGTCCCTGTTCGGCATGGAAGAAGCCAGAGTGGTTGGTGTCCCTATTCCCTACTGGTAATTTGGGTAACCCTTTCAGAGAATGGCGTGATAAGAATAGGAGGTAGGAATTGGTTAGGCAGTTAGGGTAAAAAGGCCCCAAAGAAATGTAGCCATTTTCTTGGCTAAAAGTCAAAATGTCCTTGGGCCTGATAGCAACATACTCTGTTCCAAAGGCCAAAATGTCAAAAGTATTTGGGAGCTTGTATCTAATCCTTAAAAGGTTTTAGGGTTACCTCTTCAAGGGGGAAATGTTGGAGGGGAGGGAGTAGGCATGGATTTGATCAATACACCTTATATACATGTAAAAAAAAAAAAGAAAAAAAAACGAATTTGGGGTCAATAGAAAAAAAGAAAAAGAAAATGGACTTGCTTCTGTAGAGAAGGGGTGTGGCATGCTAATGGTGCCGCTCAAGCATTTGTTGAAGTCTGTGACATCACTATGTCACTGAAAGTCCAAGTTCTGGTTTCCCCTAACAGGGCTGAATGATATGAGACCTTGCCGCGATCCCGAGATGCGCATCAAGCTCTATGTGGCCTTCAGTCTCCTGTGGGCAGGTGAGTGTTGGCCATGTCACAGGTGTGCTTCCCTAGGAGTTTCCAAACCTTTTTCTTGATATATCATAGGACTCTATCATTCTCTATTGCAGAGCACATGGAGGCTGCAGTCACCCAAAGGCCAAGAAAGAAGGTCACAGAAACAGGAAAAAAGGTGACTTTGGATTGTCACCAGACTTACAACCATGACAACATGTTCTGGTATCGGCAGGACCCAGGGCACGGGCTGAGGCTGATCCATTACTCATATGGTACTGACAATATTGAAAAGGGAGACATCCCCGATGGGTACAGCGCTTCCAGATCGAGTAAAAAGGAGTTCTCTCTCATACTGGAGTCGGCCAGCCTCTCCCAGACATCTGTGTACTTCTGTGCCAGCAGTGATGCCACAGTGCTGCACAGCTGCCTCCTGTCTGCACATAAAGTCGATATAGGAAGCCTGAGATTGCCTGTGTGGTCCAGGACGCCCCTGCCTCTGTAGGAGTCACAGAGCTCTGACAGCCCGGAAACCTTACAGCATGGGCAGTATGACCTTCAGTGCTTTCTAAGCCAGTCTCAACCTGACCAGAAGCCTCTCTAACCTTTTTGGCTAAGTGCTTGTCCCATCGCCAGCTCTCTCTTTCTGTTCGTAGAGAGGAAAAGGAATCTTTAGTTGAGAATCATGATTATTTCCGTGAAAATCTCATATTCATCCTCTCTTTCCCCTGTAGGCTTCAATGATCTCTTCATTCACTCTCTACTAACTCTTCAACTTACAGTCACTCACAGGCCTTTTTCCCCAGCTGCTGTTTTTCTCTAAGTACCACCCCAGGAGGGCATGTGCCGTTTCTTTCACCAACCTCTCCATCACCGCCCTTTACCCAGTGTCCCCGGCTCTCCTCTCCAGCTACACTCATCTCTTCCCAGTTACTTCCTTATACGCATTGTGCGTTTTCCACCGAGAGACTTTTTTATTCACAGGATATTTCTTCTGTGCTGAAAATATGTTTCCCTTCTTGTTACTGAATCTCTTCTTCATACTCTCCATGAATACATATTTCAGATACAATTTTTATTACACTTGTAAAGAAAAATCTAAATTTTACTAGAGCACGTCAAGAAAATACTTTTAGCATTTGTTTGAGGGGAGATTGTTTATTCGTAGAGACACAAAAGGAAACCACTTATAAGAAATGATATTTATCATGCTAGTTATATTAAATTACTTATATCAAAGCTCACCACAAAAATGACAATAAGCCTCAGACAGCTAGTATGCATGAGGCATGCGTGCACGTGACCAGGAATGGTTGTGACAGATCATTAAACATTCACCAAATAGATCCCTCATGATTCTCAACCTCACATGCAGTTTGAGGGTCAGGAATATCTCACTAGATTCTAAACAATAAGGTTGTAGGTAAAAATGATCCAAGCTAATTCCAAGCCTGGCCTTTAAAATCACTCTGTGGCACTCTGTTGCAGCCCTGTTTAACGCTCATGTTTGGAGATTTGGTAAATACACTCGTATAATATGGTGTAGAGCTCTATGCCTGGTTAAGATTTATTGTAGCAACAAATATTTAGCAGCAAATCAAACCGGATCTGAAGGAACCCACAGGCGGCTTTCCTTTCTTCTTTTTCTCACGGAGGTAGTCATTCGGAGCTCACTCTTGCTTGAGTTTAAACTAAAATGCTCTGATGTGCAAAGTGATCTTGCTAACAGCCCATAGTGTTCAGAGAGTTTGCTGGAGGTTAATCAGTCCAGAATCTAGAAGGAAATCCTGTGTCAGTACAATATTGTTTTCACTAACAGTATAGGTTCAACAAGTCATGCTTCTCAGAAAGTTTTATAGCAGCGTTGACTACTGCTTAATAGCCAGGCTCCAAGACATCAATCGAAGGTAGACCTTACAAGTAAGATTCTCTAAGTACAGCTGTCTCAAGGTTGCTATGTTAACCCCTTTCCTTCACAGACACCTTTCAACTTTCTTTTGCCAATTCTTGATGAATGTAGACGTGTAGTGATCAGATTCTGTAGTTGTCGTATGTAAACAGCTTGGCTCACTGGGTAACAACTTGGTTGACAAGTCCTACTGGGCTTTACAGACTTGGAAAATAAGAGAGTCAAGGAATTCAGTTTGGAAATACGTGTGACAGTCACCTTTCTGTGATTACTTTTGTCTATTTTTAATTGAATTTTTGTGAATTTCATATAGCATATTTTGACCATATTAAGACCACCTCTATCCACACTCCCAATAGCCTTCCCGACCAGATTTCATGCATTCTGTCATACATAGTAAAGCCTATCAAGCCAGATTTCTGTCCCCAAATGTCCTTTGGTATGAGTACACCCACTGGACTCATACCCCACTGTTTAGAGTCACTTCCTTAAAGACAACCAACTCTCCCTCTCCCAGTAATCATCCATTGTCAATCATTCCTCAGCTAAGATTGGGGCTACTTCCCCATGTCTGTGCTGGATTTTTGTCTGCTTTGATCTTGGCAGGTCTTGTGCACGCTGTCACCATTGCTGTAAGTTCATATGAACAACTTCCCAGCTGCCTGGAAAACCGTTTGTGGTCATTCATCTCCCCTGGCTCTTACAGTCTTTCTTCCCCCTCTTCCACACTGGTCCTTGAGCCTTGGGTGCCAGAGGTTTGATTTAAGTATCCTACCCAGGGATAAGCACTCTGTGCTCTCTTATTCTGTGCACTTCGGCCAGTTATGTCTTTCTGGGCTTATCACCAGCATGAGGAAGCTTCACTAATGAGAGGTGAGAGATACATTAATATTCTTTCTTCCCCTGTTCTACTATGTTCTCTGAACCTTAGGTCTAGAGACTATATTGTATCTTTGGGATGGGCATCTCTCAGACACTTATTCTCTGCATTTGATCTATTTTAGAACTCTGTAATAACCTCTACCTGTTTTAAAAAGAAACTTCTGATGAGTGGTGAGAGGTACACTTATCTGTAACTATAAGGAAAAATATTTAGCATGTAGTAAAAAATTACCTTTGTCTAGGGATGTGACAAAAGTAGATTTTCCTCTAGGAGCTATGGCCTCTCCAGCCATGTGTATTTGGCTATGTTTACAGTGCCACCCATGAGTTCCCTCCCATTGAGTGGGCTCTAAGTCCAATTAGAGGGCTGTTGATTACCCTCAAGGTAAGAGCGCCACTACTGTACCAACAGAGATTATTTCCTGGGTCAGTCATTGTGGTTATTAGGATTTACAGCTAGGTAGGACCATTGATTGGTTTTCTTCCTTGGCAGCTTATGTAGTATCCTCTGATACCCAGAGAGCTAGTCCTCAGTGAGGAGACTTCCAGGTCAGTTCCAGCTCAATTGTTCCAAGTACTATATCTAAAATAGGTCCTGTCTTCAGCAATAGAATCTTACCTTCATGTTCTGGGAAACGATCAAGGGCTGTGGTAATAGCTTGTGTTATTTTGGGAATCTTTTAGATTACTCTGACCAGCAACGTGAAGGGAGGTTCCCCTGCCTGGCACTGTGTTTCTTGTTACATAGCTTTAGGTATATACATGCACTTAGGTTCAGATATTTTATGTATATTTTTCAGTGGGCTTTTTGTACTGATACATTTCCCTCCAGTTTTTCTCAGAACCTAAGTTATATTTGCCTTTGCTCCCTCCCATGTTAAAGCACCCCCATGAAAGTCATCTTTCTGTCATTATGACAGCATGTCTGAGAAAGTAAAAGAGAAAAATTTATTTTGAGAGAGAGAGAGAGAGAGAGAGAGAGAGAGAGAGAGAGAGAGGGAGGGAGAGATCATTTAATATCATGGCCCAGGTCTACTTTATCTTCTGCAGTTTTTCTTCACTTCTCAGTGTCCCTTCAAATTGAACGACTAATCTATTCATGAAATCAAAGCCTTCATAATCTAATTCCTTTCTTAAAGCGCCTCCTTTGAACATTGCTTACATTTAGACTAAGCCTTCAGTACATGAATCTTTAGGGAGCATGTCATATCTAAACCATAATGTTAAGCACTACTTTGGGTTTCTTTTTTCCTTTGTTTTAGCATAACCATCTTATCCAATGAAATTAGTATCTAAAGTGGGTAAAGAATGCTCACTATTAATAAGAAAGATAACCTAATGCACATGCAACATTCTATCTCAATTGTCAAGTTACAGAAGGATAATAGCAATTCTTTCAAAACATGTAAACACATTTTTCACCTTTACTTAGAAACAAAGCATTTCAGAATGAAACAATGAGACTGACTTCACACTTACCAGATTGGAAAATTGTCAAAAGATTTACAATACAAAACATTCATGGAGATGTGGACTACAGGCAACTTACACCACGAATGAAAATTACAGTGACACTAGGAAAGCCTTAGCGGGATGCTTTCTGATAGGTGATTCCTCTCTTAAATTAGCTACGCATTTAATTTACTTGGGTTCATTTCATTGTGCGACCATGAAATGTTCAGCTATCAGTATTTACTTTTATCATTTTGAAGGTACTATGTTTAACTTTAAGAATTATAATAATATACAAGTAATATAAAGTTTTCATTTTGTTGTGTGTGGGGGAATAAACTGACAGATCAACAGGCAAAAAACTGCAGGCCTATTACATGCCATGGGGACATCAAATGAAAGGAAATGAATGTCTAAAAGCCCAGAGATAACCTAGAAGCTTCTATTCCCTCTTTGTAGGCTGATGTGCAGGGAAATGTAAGCTACTCAGGGGAGAGTAAATTATTGTAGAGAAAGTGCATATATCCCCAGGAGAATAGGCAATAGAATCTCACAAAGTCTGTCTGGCCATGGTGTGGGTTTCCAGTCTCTCCTCCTGTGATACGAGCTAATCCTTCCTGGTTGGCAAGGGCTTCATATGTTGTCTTTGGAGGATTTGTGTTTGAACTATTAGGGGAACCTAAAAGAAAGCTCTGCATTTGCTGTTTCCCAAGTACCCTCAGTATGGGGGAAGCTGCAAACCAAACTGGCATACTGGAGTGCCATTTCCTGAACTCCTCACTAATCTTAGCACAATTCTGTGGTATTTTGTGTACATTCTCTGTGTTATAGAACAGCCACTGCTATCTATAGCCCAAATCTTTTTCTTATCCTTTGAACAAACCTATGAACCCTTAAGCAGCAACTCTTCTCTCAACTCCAATCCCTGAAAACCTTTAATCCAGTTTCTGCACGAATTTGTATACTATAGGAAATTTATATATGAAGAATTATAAAATAGTTTTGCTTTTGCATCTTGTTTATTCCACTTAACATAAGCATTGTTACATTTAGAAGCACGTATTTGAACCTCACATCTTTTGTAGATGAATAGGACTTCATTTTATTGATATGCTGTGATTTTTTATCTACTCGTAGTGGACATTTGAGCTGTGCCCATCTTTCAGTTATTTTAAACACTGTTGCAACTGATGTTGACCCTCAAGTATCTGTTTGATTCATAGTTTCCAGTTCTTTGAATATATGACTGGGAATGAAATTGCAGAATCATGTATTAATTCTGTTTAATATTTTGAATAGCCATCAAACTTCAATTTTACTTCAGCTATACCATTTTACATTCTCATCTTCAACCTACGACAGTTCTGGCTCCTTCACAGCCTTGAAAACTTTGCTGCTTTATTATTACTGTCATTATGGCTGTCTATTTTGTGTGGAAAGATCCCCCATTCTTTTGTTTTGAATTATCTGGGAACCAGTGACATCAAGCACACATTCACATGTTTATGGGACAATGCTGTTTTCTTTGGAAGGAAATATCTTTAATTATCTGATTGTGTTTAGAGATTACCATGGTCCTCAGATTTCAACAGTTTTTATATGATGAAGATAGAATTAAGGGTGCAGTCCTCTAAATCCTGTGATATAAGTTAATGGAGATAAAATTAGTGGAGACACAAAACCACTCCATTTTGCAGCAAGGCATCTTTCCTACAGTTGAACAGTGTTTGCTGAAACAAGAAATTTCTTATGGGACACACAGAGTACACATACTTGTTTGCCCTTCTTAGAGTCTGATATTGTCTTTGTCTTATTGTTTGAAACTCTTTTCACTTGGGCTGCTTTAACACTAGGTAGTGCTCTAAGCTTAGGTTTTTAATACTTCTGCTATTGATGTAGAACCATACATATAAAATAGCACCTTGGTAGTAGGGGATGGGTAAGTTTAAAAATGCAACTGTCAGTAGCAGCCCATTTCCTCAGATGTAACCCCAGTAAACTCATTTCACTCATTGTGATGAACTTCGATGAGTTGGTATATGGGCTCTTGGTGCCATTGTAAACATCTGAAGGCAGATGTTTACATCTCCATGGGGCCGTTATACAACAAGATTGAAAATCATTTGGAGATTTGTTGTTTATGATGTTTTTAAAAGTATTTTATTTATTATTTTTATTTTATGTGTATGACTGTATTGACTGCATGTTATGTGAGTGCACCCGTGTCGTGCATTGCCGTGGAGGTCAGAAGAGGGCTTCGGATTCCCCTGGAGCTGGAGTTAAGGACAGTTCGTAGCCGCCATGTGGGTGCTGGGAATAGAACCCAGGTCCTCTGCAAGAGCAGTCACTACTCTTAACCGCTGAACCATCACTCCAGCCCCTATTTATGATGTTTTAATGTAACACTTCTGAAACCTTTTCAACTATATTGTAGAAGAGAAAATGAGTAAAATTTGTCACTACTGCTCAGAACCAAGGTTCTTACCCAAGTGATCAAGAATGGAAGATGAGCTGTAAATCTGATATTGAGTTGAATCAGAGGTGTCAATATGAAATTATTATTTTCAAGAATATTTTCTAATTCTATGAAAGGATCTGAGAAGCAAGTCAAAAGCCAGTTGACAAGTTATTGTTCTTGGAGTTGTGTTTCTAATACCAATGCAGATTTATTGCACAGTACAGGGTTTTTTTTAAATATTTTATTTATTTTTATTTTATATGTATGAGTGTATTGTCTGAATGTATGTAAGTGCACCCATGTCGTGCAATGCCCTTGGAGGTCAGCAAAGGGTGTTAAATCCCCTGGAACTGGAGTTATGGACAATTGTTAGCTACCATGTGAATGCTGGGAATCTAACCTGGGTCCTCTGCAAGAGCAGCCAGTGCTCTTAACCGCTGAGCCATCTCTCCAGTCCCCATATAAAATATCCTAGTAGCTGCTGGTTTGTAGCTGCTGTGAATTGGCAGTGGCATGTGAGGTATTAAACGGTCTCTTCTTCCTCCACTGATATAGGTGGGCTCTGTTCAATGGTGAAACTGAATCATTTAGGGGAGAATCTTGTCAGCTTGCCCAGCACAAAGATATGGGACCAGAAGCCAGGCTCAGAGACAAAGCATGCAAGGAGAAGGAATGTCCCAGGAGCACATTAGAAACTGTAGCTATGAACCCTTCATCTAATCCCAATGTGCAATGTATAGAATGACACCGAGTTTATGTGTGTTAGAAGGATAAATACGCATTTCTAGACATTTCTAGATAGGTGTGTTTGAAACTGTGGACAGCAATACTGCAAGCATCCTTAGAAAACCACTTTTCCCAGAATTCCTGGTCTTCCTACCCTGAGCATCAAGATGTCTCATTGCTTACTGGCCTAACCTGGATTCTGCCATCTATTTCTTTGGTGACCTTACTCAAGAAGCAGAGGAGCCCTAGAAACACATGTGGAACTTCTTCCCTAGAACAAGAATGCTTTAACTTCAACCACTTCAGTGTGATGAGCACAGTCTCCAACACACCTGAATGCTGCTATCATCTAACACCCTGGTCAGGACGATGGAAGAAACACTGTCCTCTTGACATGAAGAAACTTTACATCACTGAGTTACTGATACCGACAAAAGTTGATCTCCCATCTGTGGTTTTTCTACCTCATTGATGGAGATCAAATGAAGGAAAACAACTGAGTCTGTTAACTAATTCTATACCTCAGATCTTCACTTGGTGACACCGGCATGTGTTTCCTAAGTTTGGGGAACTTGGTGGATAATCTGCCATTACAAAGCTACCATTCCTAGTCTCTGAGCACACGTTTACTTTGTTCCCTCATACCGACTCCCGGGGCTTCTCTAATACACCAACCCTTCCCAGCTCATCACTCAGGCAATTAGAGAAAAGCAATAGTCAGATACTAAACACTGCAGTCTAATTGCAAAGTGTATCCTAGGTGTAAGTTTCTGAAGCCTCAAAAGTCTTAAATACTGTTTAATCTTATATTTATTATGATGATACCCACAGTGATCATTTCAAGGATAAGAAATATTACCTTTCTTAAGTTGTCAAATCTGACATACATTCATTGATAACTGAGAAGTGCAGGCAAAAAAATGGTGAATGCTTTAGTATATAGTGTGTCATGAAGGTTAGTGAAAACAAAGAAGAAACTGGGCCTTCAGACAAGATAAAACCTTCCCACTGCTCGGGGCGTCGTATTACTCCTTTTAATTTGAGGTATGTCAGCTAGTTTAATGTGATGCCGTTATAAACTGTGCTAGCTATGACGGGTCCCACTTTGTGACTGGGAGGAGGGAGACCCTGATGAGAGGGAAATGTCAAAGTGAAGGATAATTACAAGGAAGGACAAAGAGGCCTCTAGCCAGTAATGTTCAGTGTTGCCTTTGTGATAGTCAAATAGAAATATGTATCAGAGAGTTAGAAGAGGGGCCTCAAGATTTAGAAGTTACAGTCCTCACAGAGCTATGTGTGAGGACACTGGATGAATTTACACAGTCTGTGCATAAGCTAAACCAACTTCCAGCTCCATTTACATTCTAAGACTGAAATAATCTGTTGGAACAGTGATGTCACTGTGGGGACTGTCATGTGGTGACAAGTGACGCCTTTCTCCTCTACTGCTGCTTACAGGACTTTGACCTGGTAAGCCTGATTCCTGCCCTGACCCTGCCATGGGCACCAGGCTCCTCTGCTGGGTAGTGTTCTATCTCCTGGGAGCAGGTGAGTCTTAGAACACTGTCTCCATTTCACATTTCTCCAGGAATTATTCTAGTCATTTCTATTTTTGAATCCCTGTCTTCTTTCCCTACAGAAGTCTCAGAAGCTGGAGTCAGTCAGTCTCCCAGACATGAGATTGTACAGGAAAGGGAGGTTGTTGAGTTTCAGTGTGATCCTATCCCTGGCCATATTGTACTTTACTGGTACCAGCAGACACCAGGTCAGGGTCTTAAGCTTCTAGTTTACTTTCAAAATGATGCTGTTATGGATGATTCACAGTTGAACAAGGATCGGTTTTCTGCTGAGAGGCCTAAAGGAAATAACTCTACTCTGAAGATCCAGTCTGTGGAGCGAGGTGACTCAGCCACATACCTCTGCGCCAGCAGTTTAGCCACAGCAATGCAGAGCTGCTTCCCTGCTGTACACAAAGCCCAAGGCTTTTCTCCACTCAGCTCTCAGCAGCCCTGGGCAGAGGCCTCTCCTTATGCCTCATCATCCATAGACAGGTTGGGTCTGCAGACATAGGCTATGATGTTTATAACCTATAGGGCAAAAACTCTTTCTTCAAACATGAGGACTTTGACTGTAGCATCTCAGGAATTTAAAGCACTTTTCAGTGACAACTCAAGAGCCCCAAACTGAAAGTGACTTTTCATAGACTCAGTCCTTAGAGTCTGGAGACAACTGTTCTATAAAAATATGCAGCCAGGAATTATGTCTAGTAACAAGTAATACAGAGGGAGGTTATATATGAGTAACAGACAAGGTTTCCTGCTGGAGTGTTAGCGTTCTAATGTTTGAATACCACCCTTGGTGGCTTCCTTGCATCTCGCTTCTGTGCCTTTACACTGGTTCGCTTATGGAACAAATTCTCCCCATGTAGTTGAAGGACTTCTATTCCTGTTTGTGTGGGAAAATGTTAGTAATATTCATATTGGTGCTGATGATGGAGGTGATGGCAATTTTCACTATTTTTCACCCATGTTTTAACTTCAAATAAATGCACCCAAATAGATATCCTGGAAGGAATCTAAATTTTTAAAATTTTGTTTTTGAGGGAAGGTTTCTTATAGCTGAGCTGCACTTTGAACATTCTGTGTGTATGAAGATGAACTGGAACTCTTTTACAACTGTTGATCCTCCTGCCTGTACCTCCCATGTACTAGGATTATAGGTGTACACCACAATGCCCAGTCCACAAACACTGTTTTTGAGTCAACTCGAGCAATGTTCTACTTTCCAGTGAGCACAGTAACTTTATCTTTTTAATGTCATCAGCAGAGCTCCAAACTATTTTAGGCTTGGTCAGGCTAGTTCAGAAGTAGTTGAGGCATTTCATCTGTCTGCTTTGTCTATTAAAATAGCTCCTTGGCATATTAAAATATTCTTTGTAATAACTTCTAAAGCAACCCAGTGCCCTATCTAACTGCTCCCTCTGACAATATCCTCTTTATGTCTATCTCCATATCGCTTTTCTGTTACCTCATCCTCTAAGGTGGCAGTAGAAATCAGTATGAGTCACTTGGAAGTTGCTTGGGAACTATTGGAAGTACTTGGAAATCTGCATTCTGGGAGCCCTCACTTTTAGGCCGACCGAGTATTCCTTTCTTCCTTATCCAGCCTAACTTACATTCATTCTAACTCACCTGCATATCCTGTTTATCCATCCATAAAATCCAGTTGTGTGGTTGATAAACATGACTGTCCATGCTCTCTTTGCCAAAATTTAAAAAATTATTATGATATATTATTTGCATAAAATACTGGTTTCACCATGACATTTTCACATAGACACACATCACCCTTCCATCATTTCACCACTTTCCCCCTTCCTTTGTTCCCCCCTTCCCTCCTGATGCTGTCTACTGTTCCTAAATGATCTCCCTTATACTTTATTTTTTATTTCAGTCTGGATGCCTCCGATGAAAGAAAACATGTAGTATTTGTCTTTATGAGTTTGGTTTATTTCACTTAAAATAAAATCTCCAGTTCCACCTATTTTCCTGAAAATGGCAGCAGTTTATTCTTCCTTACAGCTGGATAACAATCCATTGATATATGCACCACATTTTCTCTCTTCATTCATCCGCTGGTGGTACCGAAACTGATTCCAAAACTTGGCTATTGTGATCAAGGTGGATGGGCAGGAATCTCTGTGTTATGCTTACTTAGAAACCATCCAGTATATATGCAGTGTTGGCAGAGCAGGACCATACAGTAGTTTTATTTTCAGTTTTCAAGGCACCACCATACTTATTTCTGTGGTGGCTGTGCTAATTTACATTTCTATATTTGGTTCTTTTTCCAATCTGCTGGTCACTTCTTATAGTTGCTATTTTAATTCTCTGATAATATTTTTCTAGATCATCATTTCCATCTTTGAATAACAAATATGATAGTTTCATAGTCTGTCCCATCATTTCAGTTCTGAGGTGTCTACAAATTAATTGATTTTCTCTATTTTTCCTCCCTCCCTCCCTCCCTCTCTCCCTCCTTCCCTCCCTCCCTTCCTCCCTTCCCCCCTCTCCCTCCAATTAAACTGTTTCAAAATTGACTATGGTGATGGTTGTAAATGCCATTTATATGTTGAAAGCAATCAACTTATACTATGATGAGGGCTGAGGAGCCACAGCAGAAGCCCCACCTGTCTTTGGAAACTGTCTCCTTTCAACTGGGAAGATCATCAGGGGTAACTCTGGGTAGACTAAAGGAGTCAAAGTTGGTCCATTTGTATTGACCCCTGTGTTATTTCTTCACTGAAGGCTGAAGCTTCTGAGTTCAAACCTTGGTTGGTACCAAAGCCCCAAACCCAATATCCTTTTTTATTTCTTCCTTCTTTCTCCCTCCGTTCCTCCCTCCCTCCCTCCCTCTTTCCTTCTCTCCCTCTCTCCCTCCTTTCCTCCTCCCTTCCTTCCCAACTTGAACCCAGTCTCTAGGATAACACTGCTCTATCTCTACTTTGGAGGACTTCTCTAAAATGATACTCCATCTATAGCCATCTGATTCTTTGTCAAATTTTCTGCAATGAAAATTCATCATTTATTTGTTTGCCAAATCTTAGTCTGTTTAGTTTTATCCCTTTCTTCTTGGATAAATAGCGAAAAGGTGTGTGTTTGGTGCTTTCTGAACACGCTCTACAGTCAGGAAGGAATGTCCTTTTCCATACATGTATATTTACATTTTTGAGTTAAATTCAAATTCATTATAGTGCTAAGCAGTCCATATGTTTTCATTTTATTCACAAACCTTTAAAGACAAGACAATCAATGCATATTTTATTTGAGGGATAGAAAATGGGGGGTATACTTTGTGGTGGGAGAACTTAATACTGTCAAAGAATAAACTCACTCAGAAAGCTCTTTCACTGCACAGAGCTTTTGAATCTAATCAGTTCTCAGAGTTTCGACTTCTTCTCTGTAGCCCTAACAGAGTTGGCATCCACTCTGTGGAGTTTAGAGGCCAAGTCTTAACCAACCCATGGGTGTTTTGAGTATGAATGTATAACTGGAGCACAGAGCCACCCGAGAGGGAAAGTGGCACCTTTCAAAGGAGCTGGCTTGTGAGAAAACAGGGAACACGTGTTTAAATACATGGAGTTTGAGGTGCAGATGGAAATTGTTGGTAGGCTCGTACAGAATGGGATACTTTTGGGAGGACACCAGGAATTGAAAAGGCCAAACAAAATGGCAAGGAGCCTCCAGATGAACCTTAAGCCAGTTGCAGATGTGTCCATCTCACCCGATTCATTTCCCAGAGATGCAGCTTCCTCTCAAAGCAGCTTTTAAGCTGAGGGTGGGGTGTGTGGCTCCTTAGATGATTTCACTGACAGGTATAGCCTATGAGAATAAAATATCCTCAAATTCAGTTTCCTGCTAATGCTCTTAAGAGCCCCTCTTTCACACCCATTCTCACTCTGCTGTGAACATCCGGAGTCTCTTCTGTCTGGCCTTCATGATCTAGTAGCAAGCAGTTCTCAGGGCATTTAACACCCTCAAACTGGACTTCCCTATTGATGGTTTCTTAGATTTATCTTATGGCCTCCCTCAATTTTATCTTCTCTTATAGATCAAACAGATGCTGGGGTCACCAAGTGACCCAGGTATAGAGGTGATGAGAAGGGCAAACAGAAACTCAGATGTGAACCAATGTCAGGCCATGACAACCTTTTCTAGTACAGATAGTACATGAAGCAGGGGCTGGAATTGCTTACTTACTCAGGAAGGCTCCCATGAAATTTGCAAGGATACCTAAGGATTAGTTCACAGCTAAGATTCATCACTGTGCAGATCCACAGCAACCCAGGACTCAGCTGTCTATCTCTGGGTCAACAGCTTAGCCACAGAACTGCAGAAACACTTAAGATTGGGGCAAAAGCCCTTGTGTATCCAATTCTCCCTCCAGTTCCCAGAAGTCCTGAGTGAAATCACCTGCACACAAGGAATAAGGAAGTTTGGGTCACGACAAAGACAGAATAGTAAAGCATCAACCAAGGAGGTCTTGGGTAGAAAATAATGTAGGAAACAGGGTTGAGAGCTTCCTCATACATTGTCTGCGGCCTGGAAGCTAGCATGTCATTTAAACCTTAGGTTCCTACAGTGCAGATCCAGTATTTACCACCCTATTTGAATGTGACAGTCCTGATAAAGGCAGTGTCTTATGAACTACTTTGTCTTCTCTTTCTCTTTTCCCTCTAACTTGTGAGTAGATCCCTTGCCTAATTTATATTCTTAGTTGTTAAAGAAATTTCTTTGCTATGATTAAGGACATTCTTTTTTTAATGTTAATTTCTACTCAGTATTTTGCCACAGTCATTTTTTTTTTAATCAAACAGTTGCAGAGCCCAGGGACAATTGAAAGCTCTTGTAGTCTTGCACCCTCAGGATGCTGTAGGGTATTTTATCATGATGAGATGCCTATCCAGAACAGTCTCCACATGAGGACTTCCCAAATCACACAGGCGTTTCTGTCTCCTCTCTCTTCTTTCCTTCATGATTCCATGATCCTAACACTTTAGTCTACACATTTCTTCTGATTTGTGCTGGGTGTTTCTACTCAGTGCTGGAAATGCTTTCTCCATGGTAACCTTCATCTCTTCTGCATTCTCATGACATATGTTGGCGTTCATCTGATGCAAAAGATACTGATATTTGAGTGGCCAAGGCAACTTAGAATTTAAGTTGACCTGCGTTCTGCCCTGTAGCCAGATTCCTTCCTTCTTTGAGTTATTTCTGTCACTCAGGTCCAGACTTTCAATATGAAAACAATACAGACTATCATGTAGATGTTTCTATACACACTAAGAGACAAACTCTGCATCTATATATACGGTTTCAAAATGTCCCTCATTACACCACCGAGAAGTCCAGTTACCTTACACACAGGACATTCCTTCTTCAGTCCTTCTGCCCGTACTCGCCTGCCGTCATCTTCGGTGCCTGCATTATCCCGTGGACAGTTCATGCACTGCTTTCTTCCCTCCATTTTGACCTCCTCACTTTGGAGGATTGTTTTCCTTCAGTTGTTTT